TTAATTATTTTTCAGACGCTTTCTATATACAAGAAAGAAACTGTGTATAAAATTAAAAATTGGACAAGAGACACAAGCGTGTATGTTCTCTTTATAAATTAAAGTAACAACTGATTTCCAGAAGAAACATGTTCTTATGAGAAAACAAAACAGTGGAGCAAATTTTAACTGAAAAATGCATTGGAAGTATGAAATTCAAAGAAGATTGATTCTGATGTTTTGATAAAATGATAGATTTCTTTCCTGTGTTTATCTCCAGTAGTTTAATCATTTGTCATCAAATATATATTTGCAGTGGCCTAGATGTGGTCCAAGCCTAAAGATGCTAAAAGAAGATACTAAAACTACTTCTCAGATTGAAAGAAAGTGGGTAGATTGGAGGGTTTGGAAGTAGGAAAGGGATGGGAGAGATGTAATTATATTACAAGCTTGAAATAAAATATAAACTTATTTGCTGATACATTTCTTTTTAAAAATTAATTTTAAAATGGGGTACAGCACTAAACAGAGAATTCTAAATAGAGAAATATAGAATGTCAGAGAAACACTTAAAGAAATGTTCAACATCCTTCGCCATCAGAGAAATGCAAACCAAACCACCCTGAGATTTCACCTTACACCCATCAGAATGGCTAAGATCAAAACCTCAAGTGACAATGCATGCTGGAGAGGATGTGGAGAAAGAGGAACCCTACTCTGTTGCTGGTGGGAATGTTAACTTGTACAACCACTTTGGAAATCAGTCTGGCGCTTTCTCAGACAATTAGGAATAGCGCTTCCTCAAGATCCATCTATACCACTCCTAGGCCTATATCCAAAGTATGCTCAAGTACACAACATGGACATTTGTTCAACCATGTTCGTAGGAGCTTTATTCATAATAGCCAGAAGCTGGAAACAACCCAAATACCCCTCAACTGAGGAATGGATACAGAAATTGTGGTATATATACACAATGGAATATTACTCAGCAATTAAAAACAATGAAATCATGAAATTTGCAGGTAAATAGTGGAAACTAGAAAAAATCATCCTTGAGTGATGCATCCGAAAAGCAGAAAGACACACATGCTATATACTCACTTATACGTGGAGATTATACAAATAATATAGGATAAACACACTAATATAGGATAAAACACACCTCAAGAAGCTAATCAAGAAGGAGGATCCTGGGTAAGATGTTCAATCTTCATTCAGAAAGGCAAATGGGATGGACATCAGAAGAGGGAGAAAACAGGGAGCAGAACAGGAGCCTACCACAGAGACCTCTGAAAGACTCTACCCAACAGGTGTCAAAGCAGATGCTGAGACTTATAGCCAAACTTTGGGCAGAGTGCAGTGAATCTTAGGAGAGAAGGGGGAGATAGAAAGACCTGGAGGGCAATGGAGTTCCAAAGGAGAGCAACAGAACCAAAAAATCTGAGCACAGGGGTCCTTTCCGAGACTGATACTCCAACAAAGGACCATGCATGGAGATAACCTAGAACCCTGCACAGGTGTAGCCCTGGCAGCTCAGTGTCCAAGAGGGTTCCCAAGTAATAGGAATAGGGACTGTCTCTGACATAAACTCAGTGGCTGGCTTTTTGATCACCTCCCCCTGAGTGGGGAGCAGCCTTGCCAGTCCACAGAGGAGGACAATGCAGCCAGTCCTGATGAGACCTGATAGACTAGGGTCAGATGGAAGGGGAAGAGGACCTTCCCCTATCATTGGAATGGGGGAGGGGGATAGGAGAAAAAGAGGAAGCGAGGGTGGAATTGGGAAGGGATGGGAGAGGGAGCTACAACTGGGCTACAACGTGAATAAACTGTAATTAATAAAAATAGAATAAAAATTTTCATTTTTCTACATGTAGACATCCAGTTGGAACAGCACCATTTGTTAAAGATGCTATCTTTTTTCCATTGTATGGTTTTGGCATCTTTGTCAAAAATCAGGTGTCCGTAAGTGTGTGGGTTTATTTCTGGGTCTTCTGTTCGATTCCATTGATCCACCATTCTGTTTCTATGCCAGTACCATGCAGTTTTTATAACTGTTGCTCTATAGTACAGCTTGAGATCAGGGATGGAGATACCTCCAGAAGATCTTTTATTGTAGAGGATTGTTTTAGCAATTCTCGGTTTCTTGTTATTCCATACGAAGTTGAGAATTTTTCTTTCCAGGTCTGTAAAGAATTGTGTTGGCAATTTGATGGGAATTGCATTAAATCTGTAGATTGCTTTTGGTAAGATGGCCATTTTTACTATGTTAATCCTGCCAAGCCATGAGCATGGGAGATCTTTCCATCTTCTCATATCTTCCTCTAATTCTTTCTTCAGAGACTTGAAATTTTTTTCATACAAGTCTTTGACTTGCTTGGTTAGGGTTACGCCAAGGTACTTTATGTCATTTGTGGCTATTGTGAATGGTGTTGTTTCTCTAATTTCTTTCTCAGCCCTTTTGTCTTTTGTATACAGGAGTGCTACTGATTTTTTTGAGTTAATTTTGTATCCGGCCACTTTGCTGAAGGTGTTTATCAGCTGTAGGAGTTCCCTGGTAGAGTTTTTGGGGTCACTCATATATACTATCATATCATCTGCAAATAGTGATACTTTGACTTCTTCCTTTCCCATCTGTATCCCCTTGATCTCCTTCAACTGTCTTATTGCTCTAGCAAGGGCTTCCAGCACTATGTTGAAGAGATATGGAGACAGTGGGCAGCCTTGTCTTGTCCCTGATTTCAGAGGGATTGCTTTAAGTTTCTCTCCGTTCAGTTTGATGTTGGCTATAGGCTTGCTGTATATCGCCTTTACTATGTTTAGATATGTGCCTTGTATCCCTGATCTCTCCAGTACTTTAAACATGAATGGATGTTGGATTTTGTCAAATGCTTTTTCAGCATCTAGGGAGATTATGATGTGGTTTTTTTCTTTCAGTTTGTTAATATGGTGGATCACATTGATGGATTTTCGTATATTGAACCACCCCTGCATACCTGGGATGAAGCCTACTTGGTCATAGTGGATAATATCTTTGATGTGTTCTTGGATCCGGTTTGCAAGTATTTTGTTAAGTATTTTTGCATCAATGTTCATAAATGAAAATAGATCCATACTTATCACCCTGCACAAAACTGAAGTCCAAGTGGATCAAAGACCTCAACATAAAACCAGACACATTAAATCGGCTAGAAAAAAAAGTGGGGAATACCCTAGAACTCATTGGTACAGGAGAAAACTTCCTGAACAGAACACCAACAGCACAGGCCCTAAGAGCAACAATCAATAAATGGGACCTCATGAAATTGAAAAGCTTCTGTAAAGCAAAGGACACTGTCATCAAAACAAAGCAACTGCCTACAGATTGGGAAAGAATCATCACCAACCCTCTATCTGACAGAGGACTCATATCCAATATATATAAAGAACTAAACAAGCTGAAAAGCAACAAACCAAGTAATCCACTTAAAAAATGGGGAACAGACCTAAAGAGAGAATTCTCTGCAGAGGAATATCGAATGGCAGAGAAGCACTTAAAGAAATGCTCAACCTCATTAGCCATTAGGGAAATGCAAATCAAAACAACCCTGAGATTTCACCTTACACCCATCAGAATGGCCAAGATGAAAATCTCAAGGGACAACACATGCTGGAGAGGTTGTGGAGAAAGGGGAACCCTTCTCCACTGCTGGTGGGAATGTAAACTGGTACAACCACTCTGGAAATCAATCTGGCGCTTTCTCAGACAACTAGGAATAGCGCTTCCTCAAGATCCAGCCATACCACTCCTAGGCATATACCCAAAAGAGGCGCAAGTACACAACAAGGACATTTGTTCAACCATGTTTGTAGCAGCTTTATTTGTAATAGCCAGAAGCTGGAAACAACCCAGATGCCCCTCAACTGAAGAATGGATGCAGAAACTGTGGTACATATATACAATGGAGTATTACTCAGCAATGAAAAATAAGGAAATCATGAAATTTGCAGGTAAATGGTGGGACCTGGAAAGGATCATCCTGAGTGAGTTGACCCAGAAGCAAAAAGACACTCACGGTATATACTCACTCATATAAACATACAATATAGAATAAACCCACTAAAAGCTGTACATCTAAACAAACTAAGCAAAAGAGAGGACCCTAACTAAAATGTTCAATCCCCATCCTGAAAGGCAAAGAGGATGGACATCAGAAGAAAACGAAAATAGGAAACAACCTCGGAACCCGCTACAGAGGGCCTCTGAAAGCCAGAAGAAAACAGGAAACAACCGTGAAACCTGCCACAGAGGGCCTCTGAAAGCTTCTGCAGTATAGACTGTCAAAGCAGATGCTGAGCCTGATGGCCAACTGATGGGCAGAGTGAATGGAATTTTATGTAAGAAGTGGGAAATAGTAAGAGCTGGAGGGAACGGGAACTCCACAAGCAGAGCAACAGAACAAGATAATTTGAACACAGGGAACTTCCCAGAGACTCATACTCCAACCAAGGACTATTTGTGGAGATGACCTGGAACCCCTGCACAGGTGTAGCCCATGGCAGTTCAGTGTCCAAGTGGGTTACATAGTAATGGGAAGAGGGACTGCCTCTGACATAATCTGATTGGCCTGCTCGTTGATCACCTCCCCCTGAGGGGGGAGCAGCCTTACCAGGCCACAGTAGAGGACAATGCAGCCACTTTTGATGAGAACTGATAGACTAAGATCAGAAAGAAGGAGAGGAGGACCTCCCCTATCAGTGGACTTGGGGAGTGGCATGCATGCAGAAAGGGGAGGGAGGGTGGGATCGGCAGGGGAGGAGGGAGGGGCTTATGGGGGGATACAAAATGAATAAAGTGTAATTAATAAAAAAAAAGATTTGAAAAAAAATTAAAATCATTAATTAAAATATTAATATATCATCTCTCCTTCCCCTTTCTTACCCTCTACCCCTCTCCCATACTAGGACATCCCTAGCCATTGTTGACATACACACACACACACACACACACACACACACACACACACACAAGAAATCAACATCTTACCCTTAGAACTACTGCAGGGTGGCTGCTGTGTCACACGTGCATCAGTGGGTGTCAGAGAGGAGAGAACCTACACCCACCTCAGTGCTCTGACCTGTGAGCAGCTGAGTGACTAGAAACCTAACAACCCCTGAAAAAAGATCAAGCCTGAGGTGCGCAGTCTGGTGCCAAGGGGCCAATAGAGAGAGAGCGCCAGTTTGAGATGACTACCAGCCAGCCTGAGCAGGTCTATGGGGGGTGAGGGGAAGACCATGCCGAAGATGACCCCTGCCTGGCGCCATAATGCACCGACTGGAGCATAGTACTCCTGAGACCACTCCTGTGATGACCCCAGACCCCCAGAGACACTAAGAATAGTAACTGTTGGAGAGCTGGAAGAGAACACATGAAGAATTGGAGACTCTAGGGAGTGAGGAAGAGCCTGATGTGAGTAGCTGCTGATGCCACCTGGGACCATGATGAGGTCCTGGCCTACGCTGCAACTGTGGACCATATCTGGGTCCGTGGCCCTGCAGCAGTGGGGATCTGTTACCACCAAAGACCAAATGAATGCTTCTGGTCTGGGCTGCCACACAAGGAAATGTTGATGTCTGAAGGGTGTGCAAAACTGGCCCCAACCCACGCCCGGACATCGTGGGAGAACTGTCCCTTGCCCTCACCCACTGCAGCACTCCGGGGAATGGCCTCTGAACCTCTTCTGGGCAATGAAGTAGAGCTAACCCTGATGGTATGGGCTTGATTGAGCCAGACTTGAGGCAGGAGAGCAGGAGAGCAGGAGAGTTGGCTCTGCTGGTTACTGACTGCGGCATTGGATGAGCCAGAGGGCCAGAGCAGATTGCTCAACCTGGTGGTGAGGGCGCAGGAGATCTGGTGTGTGATCAGCTCAGGTACTTCTCAGGTCCAGATCCAGGGCTTTGATTGGCCCACCCTAATTTTCACTCCATCAGAGAACTGCTGGAGTATGTGAGAGGGCGCGTTCTGCAGATCCTTAACTACAGGAACTCCAAGACACAGGGCAACAACAGAGTACTCAAGAGGACTCCCAGTGAGCTTCCCGTAGCGATGGCGTACCTTGTACCAGAGCAAAAGCTCACTGAAATGATAATTCACAAGCAAAATAGTGTAGACAAAAGAGCGTACTGTGGGACACACTGTGATTATAGCTTTCACAATGATTTTTGTTGTTGTTGTCGCGGGAATTGTTGCAAGTGTGGAGGGTGTATATGAGTGGATAGGGGGCATGAGTAGGATTGGGTGCATGGTGTAAAATTTATAAAGAACCGAAATTTTTAAATAATAATTAACATATAAATACAACCGACTGAGTCCATTCAGTGCTGCGTGTGTGTATGTGTATGTGTGTGTGTGTGTGACATACTAGGGTGGACGCCAGTTAGGGAGCTCATCCCTTGGGAAGACTAATTCTGTCCCTCAGCAGTTTTTAATTGCCTGCAGCTCCACAGCTAGGGGTGGGGCCTTATAATCATTCCCACATCAACTTAGGGATGTCAAATGTTTTTGGGAGTGCAGAGCTGTATCTGATAGAGGAACAAAACAAAGAAATATATAGAAAATGTTCAGGTAAACAGGAAGTGTTATAAAAAGACAGGAAAGTGGGAGGAGTACTAGAAAACAAGTCTAGTTAGGGTAATTTCAAAATGTTTTACATTCGTTGAAGCTGTTACGAATGACACTGTTTTCCTGATTTCTTTATCAATGTGTTTTTCATTTGTCTGTAGGAAAGCTACCAATTTGGGGACATTAATTTTCTATCCTGCTAGTTTGGTGAATGCATTTATCAGCTTTAGGAGTTTCCTGGTGGAATCTTTAGAGTCTTTTATGTACAAAATCATACCATCTCCAAAAAAGAAGGCTTTGACTTCTTCCTCTTCTATTTTTATCCCTTTATATCTTTCACTTGTTTTCTTGCACTACTCAAGACTACAAGTACTATGTTGAATATGAGGAGGAAAGGCCATCCTTGTCTTGTTTCTAAATTTACTGGAAATGTTTGAGGTTTAGAAAGATATGGGCTGTGGTTCCCTGAATATTTCCTTTGAGATGTTGAGATATTTGTTGAGATATTTCTGCTATATCCCTATACTGTTCAGGGCATTTATAATGAAAGACTAAATATTGTCAACAAACAAACAAACAAAACCTTTCTGGATCTATTGAGTTTCTAATGTAAAAGGCATTTTTTTAAAGCAGTGGATCACAACACAGAGACTCAGAACTGGTAAAAATGCAGAGAATTAGTGACTTAAACATGTTCAGCACTAAATAATACGTCTATATCATACCTTCTTCCTTCCAAGGTTCAGTAATCATGTGGACGAGGGATGGAGAGATGTTAAGAGCCAAAGGCTGTGGGTGGCTACAATGAACTAGTGTTTCCCAGACACAATAGGCCAGTTGTACATATGAACAGTAGATACGGCAGCATGAACAAGATCGGTGAAATCTCAAGACAGACAGATCTCAGCATTGAGGGCTTAGCTATCTGAGAAATACCACTCCGAGGTGAGGAGCTACTGTCATTGATAGATACCCAGAGAAGAAATTCTAATCTTCTTTAATGATTATGGCTCCTGGTAGATCAAACATGCTTCAGTGAATACACACACACATAACAGGCAGCACTCATGGAAATCAATGGACTTGCAAAAATGTGGGGAAAGTTGGATGGGCATAAGATGGGGGTGAATCTTGAGGAAAATGAAAATCTTCAAAATACAAGGTTTTAAATTCTCAAAGAATTAATAAAACCCTTGTTTTTAAAGTGAGTGATCTGGGATTTACTTCAGGATGGAAGGCACTCCATGGGACCATCTTTGAGGACTAGATACTAGAGCAAAGCCCTCACTCAGTGCCTGAAGAAAGAATGGACCTGGCATGGAAGCAAAGTTCTCTACATTTAATACAAGAACAATAAAAGGACAGCAAACTAGCCTTGATCAAAGTCATGGGGAATATCAGAACTAAGCAGATATCTGTTACAGAATAGGGCTTGTGTTTAAATGTGAGTGAAGCTGTTGAAGGTTTTGAGCAGCAAATCAGTGTGACATGCTTTACACTATAACCAAACCCTCGGCAGAGTGCAGGGAATCATATGAAAGAAGGGAAGTTAGTATGATATGGAAAGAATAGGAGCTCTACAAGGACCAAATATATCTGGGCACAGGGTCTTTTCTGAGACTGACACTCAACCAAGGACCATCTATGGATATAACCTAGAACTTCTGCTCGGTTGTGGCCCGTGGTAGCTCAGTAACCAAGTAGTTTTCCAAAGTAAGGGGAACACGGACTATTTCTAACAGGATCTCAAGGGCAGGCTGTTTGAACCCCCCCCCTCCCCAGGAGAGGAGCAGTCTGTTAGGCCACAGAGGAGGACTTTGCAGCCAGCCCTGAAGATACCTGATAAAACAGGGTCAAATGAAAGGGGAGGAGGTCCTCCCCTATCAGTGGACTTGGAAAGGGGCAGGGAGGAGACCAGGGAG